GAAACAAAGTTAGGGTTAAAGATCTTGAAAATATTATCTCTGTGTCTCAGCCTTATATCTGGTACCTACACTAAAACATATCTTGTGAAGTAAGTCAAGGACAGTACCACGTTTTATGCTTTGGCTAACTATATTAAATATCAACAACACATCATTAAACTCTCTACGCCTCTTGAGTTCCACAATACAAAACTCATCAAGTTAAGATGAGATGAAGATAACAAGGATAAAATCCATGTCTCTTAAAAAACATAAACCTCAGAAACTTTTTTTGGATTTTCTCTAGTATGTCTTTATGATACATTGTTGTAGGGTTTCATATTATACTGGCATATTCCAGTTTTGATCTTACATATGCATTAAAAAGTAGTGTGTAAGTCTTTGGGTTTTTGAAGTCTGCACAGGGGCCCAGTACAAAACCAAGCTTCCTCATCCCATTTGCATACAAAGTATAAATGTGTCCACCAAATGGGAAACCCTCAAAGAACAGTATTCCTAGATCAGATATCTCCTGAACTCTGTCGAACGCCATATCATTAATCTTGTATTGTGTTAGCATAGGATTCTTATTTGGAAAAATGCTTGAATATTTACATTTACTTACTGATATTTAATTTTAGGTCATTGTTGACACAATATGATACAATAGCATTAAGATCTTTTTGTAAAAGTTGACAGTCTGTTTCATTTTGAACTGAACTATGCATTTTTAATTCATCTGCATAGGGTAAAAATTGTGAACTGTATAGGGTGGCCCATTTTCGATATTTTAATGGGCTATATCGAAAAGCAGCAGAGATATCAAAAATCTGGGGGCACATTCTCGAGCTCTTTTTTTGAGAAAATAACAATGGCGAAGACAAATCACGACTCACTTCATGCGTTTAGAAAATACAGGGCACTTTTCAAATTGTGTCCAATTTCAAAATACCTTCTAATTTCTTTATTAATCAAGATGTCCAAAAACTAAAAATACTTTCTGTAAGTAGTTTTTCAAGTAGAATCCAGTGGCATGACCAATTTTTTTCCAGATACCACTGATTTTGGAATATTAACCAAAGTTGTGTTTTTTTAAATGGGACACCCGGTATATTATTTTTTCATTGCATAGCTATTTTTGACCAGATTTCAATGATATAAAGTTTCATAGCTTTATCTTCAATAGTTTTTGAGAAAAAAAATAAATTTCTTTTCTGCCTAAGAAACAATGAGCTAAAAAGAGATGAGTCATCAAATAAATTGAGTTGCTTATTTATCACCCCCATTTCATTGTTCAGATTTTAAAAAAAATCAACTTAACAAAAAAAAATAAAAAATTAATTTTATAAAACCTTATATCATTGGAATCAGCTCAAAAAGGGCTAAGCAATGAAAAAGTAATATATGGGGTGTCCCATTTAAAAAAACACAACTTTGGTTAATATTCAAAAATCGGTAGCATCTGGAAAAAAATTGGTCATGCCACTGGATTCTATGTGAAAAACTGCCTATAAAAAGTATTTTTAGTTTTTGGATATCTTGATTAATAAAGAAATTAAAAAGTGTTTTGAAATTGGACAAAATTGGAAAAGTACCCTGTATTTCCTAAACGCATGAAGTTAGTCGTGATTTGTCTTCATCATTGTTATTTTCTCAAAAAAAAAAGCTCGAGAATGTGATCCCAGATTTTTGATATCTCTGCTGGTTTTCGATATAGCCCATTAAAACATCGAAAATGGGTCACCCTATACTTTAAGTATAAAATAAGGCTTGAATCAAAACCAAAGGATTCAAATTTTCTGACAAACACAGCGTGGTTAACCTTGTCAAAGGCTTTGGCTAGATCAGTATACACAACATCTGTCTGAGATCCAATCTGCAGGTTACTGCTTACATATTCAGAAAAAATACTTAGAAAAGTGACAATTTTCACAACTGTGGAATAATTACTCCCTGCACGTGCTGACTAACTTTAATATGTATGATTCTCTCAAAAATCTTTTACATTGCAGGCAAAACACATGTCACAGGACGATAATTCTCAATTGCGTGTATTTCCATTCTTGTAAGTCGGTGTTATAGAACCAATTTTCACAGGATCAGGAAAACAATTGGCATCCAGAGATTTGTTTACTAAAGTTTGCAGAGGGATCTGTAAAATATTCAGATAAGCTTTATAAAAATATGGTGGTATTCCATCTACGCCAGCAGATGCCCTGGGTTCAATCAATCAATGCTTACCAGCGCATTCTCAAAATCCTCCTCAACATTGGCCTCTCTTACATTTGTCAGGACCACATCTAGTGTGTTGTCTAGACGATTTTTTATATTATTCAGGGAATACAAATCATACTCACTTAGTGAATGATTTATGAGTTGAGCCTTTGGTGAACTTCTAGCTAGATTCTTTCACATCTGAAACATTAAAATTCCCTACCAAAATTATATTCTCAGTACCAAGTATAAGTATGTCAATACTATACAGTAAAGTAAATCAATAAAACTTTCATGAACATTAAAACTGTAATTACAACTGACATAAATACAACGTATTAAAAATTGAGTATTATTTACATTGGTGTGACATACATCCATTGAAAATCTATAGAGTTACTCTTAGCTACTAACTCTGGCCTTTATTTTGCACACAACACATGACTCCTCCACCTTGACTCATATCGCAGTGGAGATAATTTTTATCATTTCTAAATATCACATATCTATTATCACATATTCATCATCATGAAACGAACTATTCAACCATGTTTCACTTCCAAGCATAAATTTCACAAATTTTTGAGACACGACAACTTTTTAATAAATTAACGGAAAAATATGCCGTTTTCACCATTTTTGAAATCGATTAATCATCTGCTTTACAGAAAAAAAATATAGAATTTGACTGTTTTTTTTTCATACCTACAGGGTGATATAGGAAGTGCAGTAAAAATACAAAATTTTGGTTGCCACCCCATTTCTACAATTATTTTCTTAGTTTTCGAGATATCAGTGTTTAAAAGTAAGCACATTTCGAAAACTGGTAATTTTGACTATCTTTGAGTAGTAGTAGTAGTAGTACTCGACTTTACTAAACTCTCTATCGTTTAGGGTTTTTGAGAAAGTTTTGGACAAAATGTCGACCAAATTTTGAAGCTCAATATCCCTGAAACTTCACAAGTTACAAAAACCAATTTTGCAGGGCTTATTGATACTCTTTTCAATGATGCATAATTGTAAGCAATTTTCTTAAATATCATTGAAGATATGAGCAATTATTTATATCAAGCATGTCAAGATTCCGAAAAATGTCCAGAACCAAAAATAAGATTTCCTTTTTGGATTTTTTTTCTCATCAAAATTTTTAAATGTAACTAATGTTAGAATTGTTTCTGACTAATTTGGACTCGCTCTATCGATTTAAAAAGTCAGAATTGAGAAAAATCCAAAAATAAAAATTTCCAGTTTTTGGTACTTTTTCCTGAGGGTAGGTACCCCCTTTGAATTTTAATTTTAATTGGACGTCCTTTTGACGACACACTGGTCATTATGGTAAGCTGGGGTGTCTCCAAACAGTGAACATTCAAAAGATACTAAGTACTTATCTACTCAATTTTCCCTAAATTTCTGCTTTCCAAATCTCTAAGGATTGACCTTATCCCTGGTTCACTCGCTGGTTCACGTAGTTTGTTGAATAGGATGTATCAGTGTGTAGTGTATATCGATTGAAAAGTTATCTATCTACATAGTAATACCAGTATAATATTATCTGATGCACGATAAGTATACCAGTGGGTACCTACATAAAAAAATGATAATTGTTTTGCACTAAGTAGTTTTAGCAGTTTTTGCTACTTGTATATTCTCAAAAGGTTTTTCATCACATTTTTGAAACAATCTGAAATTGGTGTTTTGTGCATTTCAGCAAATAAAGATGGAAAGATTTGTTTATCTCAATAGTTATTATACCTAATTGATGAATTATCACTGAAGTGAGAAAAAAAGGGACCAGGCTATTGTACCTTTCTTTTCTTATCTATTTTTATATTCGTCATTGGGCAGTAGACTATTGTGGAGGAATAAGCTATTAGGAGAATAATAATTACCTACCTAAGCTATAATCCTAACTGCCCTTCAAATCAGAATTTTGATAAGCTACTTCTAGTTGAGCAAGCTTGGTATTAGACTTTAAGCCTTTGGCTGTAGATGTTTTCAGTAACTTCCCCTTAACAATTGAAGTTGCGTTTCACTGATATCCAGGGCAGCAAATCATGGTTTGACTATTTCTTTTTGGAAATTGGTGCCCCCTGGGGAAGACCATAATAGGTTAGGATCCCATTTGTTCACGATTATACTATTAAAGGTAAGTGTAGCAGTGGGGCACTACCGAATACCAGTGAGAAATGGTTGAATTATGATTTGCTGTTGGGTGTCAGCTGCACAACGTGGTTTCAAGTGAATTCAGCCTAATGGGGCTTTATTTAAATAGCTGAATGTTTTTCAACTTTTCCAGGCAAAATTGTTTTTGTGTTTTCCAGATGAAGAGTCAACTAATCATGTTCTGTATTGTAGCTGAAACGAAATGGTTACGCCTCTAAAGAGGAATAGAAAACTTTCCAAAGGAGGTATTACACGGGGTAGTTTCTCATTTTAAAAAAAATCAATAGGGGGGCAAACCCCCAAGACAAGTAGTCAGAATTACTAGGTAGTTTTAAAAATATGCTTATTTTTAAACATCGATATGTCAAAAACTAATCGTACGATTTAAGATTTTGCTATGACTGTAAAAGGAAAGCAACGAGCTATTTAACTATGTGCAACACAAGGTAGGGTAGGTTTGTAATTTCTACTGTTTTTCTTAACTCAAGAGCCTGGAATAGAAACAATTTGAACCAAAAACAAAAAATTATCAAAAAATATTGTAAAAACAACTTCTTTTTATATTGTTAAAATGTTGAGACTTTTAATAAACTTTCTCCATTGGGTAACAATTTATCAATGGGAAATTTTGCCATTGTTTCTAGCCATCTATAACTGGAAAGGCGTCACTCGTTTCGGCCTCGCTCTGGAAATAGGAGACACAATCCAAATTTTAGAAGAGTGTGAAGGCTGGTACAGAGGATTCGCCACTAAAAATAGAGCGCACAAAGGCATATTTCCTCAAAGTTACATTTTTCTAAAGGTAATGTTTTCTATTATTTGTAATCAGATCCAAAAGGCTTAAGTATAATATGTTTACAGCAATGCAAAGTGGACAATGAAGGTCTGTTTGAGAGTGTAGTGCCATTAGAGGATCCTGTAGTAAGAGAAGTTACTTTGGTTTTAAGAGAATGGGGACGAATATGGAAAGGATTATTTGTGGTAAGCACTTTTTGTTCATAATTGAATCAAAACTCAAAAAATAATTGTCTGTCACAACAGGAAAGAAACCTTTACAAATTCGAGACTGTAGGAAAAGTGATGCGAGATCTTTTGGAATGGAGAAGGCAATTGGTTTCTGGAACTTTAACCCATGATCAGACTAGGGAATTAAAAATGAAGATAATACAGAAAATTGATTGGGGGAATCGGTAAGTGATGCATGAAAATGTTTATTGTGATAATTGAAAAACTAACATTATTTAAGAATACTTTTATTACTAAAGCTATTATAGGTCGATGATTTTGAAAATTGAGTCTTCACAAACATAAAAATAATATATTATTTAAAAAAGCAGTCTTAATAATTAAAAACTATTTCTAATAATGGATATGTTTATATTCTCATTTCAAATTACAATTACTATAGTTAAAATAAACCTACTAGGCAAATGTGTATATAAAAACAAGCAATAATCATAGTATAAAAATATTAAATGCCATTTCTGATACTTTTAACCTAAAAAAATCTTAAAAGCTAAGACTTAAAAGATGGTTTACCTACTTGTAATATATACAGGATTGTCTTCGGTAAACCAATACTAGTGTGCGGGACTTCTCTGCTGCTCCATTTCAACATACAAACTTACAAAACTAATAATTTTTATGTGTCTTACTAGAAAATCACATGATGCTCCTAAGGCAACTTAAAGCATGATCCAAATTTATATAAGAACATGTACATTTCATATAATTATAAAAGATATAAATCACAATTCCTAACTAAAAAAAAAAAAAAATATTAAAATTCAATTTCCTTAATCTATGTCTCAGTTTCCTTTCCGTATTTTTCGATTTCCGGATAAATGGGGCTCATTTCAATCGTACTAGGGGCAGACGGTAAATTACTATTGCTGCCAAAATTCAATCTGCGCACAAATTCGTCCAGTATTTCGCCGAATACTAATAAATTCATGTTTTGACCCAGAAGATGTAAAAGTAGAAAATCGCCAACCTACAAAAATAACTTGTATAATATTTTTCATTATTAAAATAAATTCGTTTGTACCTGAGTTTTTCTGATGATAGTATCAACAGCATTAGGAGCTCCAAATCGGAATCTGCGTTTTAGAATTGTTTCTCTAGTGCTGGGCAATAGGATTACTGCTACAGAATACACCATCGCTAATCCGGACAAAATTGCTAAAATAATGAACCAAAACCACAAGAAAATGTAGATTTTTTCGTTTAGGATGTTTAGGGCTAAAATGCAAAGAGCATCATGACGCTGGATTGATCCAGAAGGTCCAAACTAAAAGAAATAATCATGATTTAAAATAATTTTTTAAAATATATTAAATGCTTACTTTATGGAAAGTACATTTAGTTACTCTTGGAAAGACTGCAACCATTGGGTCAGTCCTGTTTTCTTGGTTCATATTAGAGAATCTTACTACGTCAGTTCCATAGCTCATGAAAGCTCCTCCCAAGAATCTGTCAGTCATAACTATATTAACTATCTACAAATAAATTGGGTAAATAATTTTTTTTGTGGGTGAAATGTTGATTTACTACTTACAACATTGATAAAGTTTAATATTTCACACATAAAATAACCAAAGGCGTAAGTATTATGCTGATGCATGGTTTCAATTAAATATTGCACCAAGCGATTTTGTCTGTGCTCTCTTTCCGCTTTGTCTCCAATCAGCAAACCCCTCATACCGTCAGATATCATGCGAATCTTGCCTTGTTCCCAATTTTTCCAGAACCAATGAGGCACATAAAATAGTACCCCCTGGAAAAATAGCATAAATGGTACCCATTGGTAGTAGCTGTGGTAGGTTTTTTCCTGGTTTTCATTGCCCAGGCCTGGATGAGCGATTTCGTTGCCTATTAGTTTACCTTGTTCGTGAGGCAGGGTGAAAGTGTACGTGATCCAGCAATAAGTGTTGATCACGTGACCGGGTACTCCACGGTCGTTGATGCACTGGATTGGATCACCTAAAATAGAGCATTTTTGTATAATCATGAATTTCTCTTGCTGCTGTTTTGCATTGGATCAATTTGAAATTTTACTGAGATGAACATCTAACTCTTCTTTTCTTGCCCCAAAAGTTTCAAAATTATCCTCTCACTTGAATTCTGGAAAAATATCAAAATGTGAAGAGATGCATTTTTGTATTATCTAGGTTTTCAAAGTTGTATTTCATGAATTTTTCTTATTATTATTTTTCACTGGATTAATTTGAAATTTTACTGAAATGAGCGTTTAACTCTTCTCATTTCACCCAAAAAGTTTCAAAATTTTGCTGTCACTAGTTTTCCAGGAACATATCAAAATGTGAAGAGGTGCATTTTTGCATAATTAAGGTTTTTAGTTGATTTACATCAATATCTCTTGTTGCTATTTTGAACTGGATCAATTTGAAATTTTACTGAAATGAGCGTCTAACTCTTCTCTTTTCACCCAAAAATTTTCACAATGTTGCTATCACTAGTTTTCCAGAAATATATCAAAATGTGAAGAAGTGCATTTTTGCATAATTAAGGTTTTTAGTTGATTCACATCAATATCTCTTGTTGCTATTTTTTACTGGATCAATTTGAAATTCTACTGGAAATGAGCGTCTTACTCTCCTCTTTTCACTCAAAAAGTTTCAAAATTTTGCTGTCACTAGTTTTCCAGAAACATATCAAAATGTGAAGAGGTGCATTTTTGCCTAATTTAAGTTTTTAAAGTGGATTTTCAAGGAATTTCTCTTGTTGCTATATTTCACAGGATCAATTTAAAATTTTACTGAGAGAAGCCTCCATTTCTTCTCTTTTGGCCCGTGAAGTTTCAAAATTTTCCTGTCACTAGTTTTCCAGAAAAATATCAAAATGTGAAGAATGTATTTTTGCATAATTTAAGTTTTTGAAGTTGATTTTCATGAATTTTTCTTGTTGCTACTTTTCACTGGATCAATTTGAAATTTTACTGAAAGAAGCCTCTAAGTTTTCTCTTTTTACCCAAAAATTTTCAAAATTTTCTTGTCACTAGTTTTCCAGAAACCTATCAAAATGTAAAGAGATGCATTTTTGCATAATTTAGGTTTTTAAAGTTGTTTCCCATGAATTTCTCTTGTTAGTGATTTTCACGGAATCGATTCGAAATATCAATAATATGTGCTCTCAACTTTCCCCTTTCTACTCCAAAAATTCCAAAATTTCCTCTTCAATGGATTTCTAGAAAAATACCAAAATGTGAAGAGTAAATTTTTGCATAATTTAAGTTTTTAAAATTGATTTTCATGAATTTCCCTTATTATTATTTTTCACTGAAACAGTTTGAATTTTTTTTGAGATGAGCCTCTGAAACTTCTCTTTTTACTCCAAAAATTTCCTGTCACTAGTTTTCCAGAAAAGTATCCAAATGTGAAGAGGTGCATTTTTGCATAATTAAGGTTTTTAGTTGATTTACATCAATATCTCTTGTTGCTATTTTCAACTGGATCAATTTGAAATTCTACTGAAATGAGCGTCTAACTCTTCTCTTTTCACCCAAAAATTTTCACAATGTTGCTATCACTAGTTTTCCAGAAACATATCAAAATGTGAAGAGATGTAATTTTGCCTAATTTAAGTTTTTAATGTGGATTTTCAAGGAATTTCTCTTGTTGCTATTTTTCACTGGATCAATTTAAAATTTCACTGAGAGAAGCCCCCATTTCTTCTTTTTTTGCCCTTGAAGTTTCAAAATTTTCCTGTCACTAGTTTTCCAGAGAAAATATCAAAATGTAAAGAGATGCATTTTTGCATAATTTAGGTTTTTAAAGTTGTTTTCCATGAATTTCTGTTGTTAGTAATTTTCACGGAATCGATTCGAAATTTCAGTATTATGTGCTCTCAACTTTCCTCTTTCTACTCCAAAAATTCAAAAATTTCCTCTTCAATGGATTTCCAAAAAAATACCCAAATGTGAAGAGGTGGATTTTTGCATAATTTAAGTTTTTAAAGTTGATTTTCATGAATTTTTCTTGTTGCTTTTCTCTGGATCATTTTACTGAAATGAGCCTCTAACTTTTCTCTTTTTACCGCAAAAATTTCAAAATTTTCCCTTTACTTGTTTTGCTTGAATTAGCCACTACTGTTATTGGAAATTAAATTGGAAAAATCCAGAAAATTACAAAGAACTCAAGAGCCTGGAATAGACAAAAATTGAAACAAAGAAAATAAACAAAAAATATTGTAAAAACAATTATAAACTTTCATAAACTGGACTTTGTGATGCATTGGTAATTGAATTAAGCTGTCCTATTTATACTATTCTGGTCCAATTTCAAAGTCAATTTATTAAAACCTCAACTTACCAATAAGATTGTTGGCTGTCACAATAATACAGCACAAAAACAAAATAGCAGAGGTGATCCTGTAATGAGCCCTGAATATCATATTGTCGATCATGGCCTTGTCCACCAGGTAGCGGACTTTGACAAAGCCCGCTACCGCAGATACCATTCCCAAAACCGTCATTTTGGATTAAAAATCTGAAACAATGAATTTTTCAAATGGCTATTTGTTGTTTTGTATCAAATATGTTCATAAAACTGACAATTAATGGGTTGTAATTGCTTGATAAACAATGTTGTAATCGATGTATGAATTAATGATTGTTCTAAGAATTTGAAATAAAAATTTATGAAAGGATATCCTGCTTAGGATTTATGTTGTTGACTAACTTTTTTATTATTCTCCAAGCATGATTAGACATTTAGGTAAACTGTGACAAAACAATATTTTACACAATAATTTACCATATTATGAGAAATTTATCTTAAATAATGTAAAATCTTTAAAAATGTTCCCATTTGATTTGGATAACCCTAAAAGGTCAATTTAATGTTCATATCATAGCCTTGTGCGTTAACAGAGAATGAAAAATGGAGTGTGAATTATTGATTAACAATGGATCATTGTTAATTAATTACTGGCCTGTTTAAATTGATTTTATTACAATTATCGCCGTGTTCTGAGTAAAATTTATTTCGAATAATAGATAAGAGACCCTGTATTAAGATACCTAATTCAAATTCAATTTAGGGGATATCCTATTCTTAAAACTTGGGTTTTTCTAAAGAAACTTGTTTGTCTAAATGCAAATTACAATATTATTCCTATAACAAAGGTACCTAAATTGACAAAAGTTACACTAAAATTCTTATCATCTCGTATTTAATTAGGTATTAATTGAATGCCTAAGGATCAAGGCATAAATGTCGGTCACAATGTTGATAATTAACGCTAATAGAAACAATAAATAAAATCATTATAAAAATGTGTTAATTTGTAATTTGTCTATGCCTAAAAAACAATAAAGAAATAACATAGTTACTAAATTCCCTCATTGCCTCATCCTACTACAGAAAGCTAACGGTACAATAAATTATTTAATCAATTTTAATGAATACTTTGGATACGTGAGACGCATTTAATTATTTTATACTTTCTTTTCTAAGAAATATATTACATATTTAATAACATTTTTACCTCGTAACTTGAAATCCTTTTATAGCCAACAAGAACAGATGCCCCCACGAAAACCTAATTAGGCACTCAATAAAATTATTGTTTGACGCGTCAGTACTCGGTACTACTAGTTACTTGCTTGAAATATTTTAAAACAAAACAAAAATATTACATTTTGAATAACGGATGTAGGTACTATACAAGTTTGGGTACCCAACAACTGTGGCTTGTATAATTATTGTATTGGAACTACTTTTCTTTATGCCTGGTTTGGTGCTTTTTAAAATTGCTGCGTTGCCGGATTTTGCTTGTTGTGTTGAGACGATAGTTAACATTCGTTGTATTCACAAATTAAGATTATACTTGACTTAATTGGAAACTAACATTGGCATTTATACAAAATGATAATTTGGAGGTTGTAGATGTTATGGGAGGTAGTCCTGATGGATCGTAACATCGTGAATTTCATTGAGTCTCCTGTACAATCAGTCCTTGAAAAATTAAGAAAAATTTAAAAGCAACTTTCCGCTTTCCCACTAAATTACATGATTTTGAAGTGGTTTTAAGATTGTGGTACTAAAATACCTACAGTACAAAACTATGGTACAAAATAAATACATCTGTGACATTTACGTTAAGTTTATGTAAATTTGAGATCATTTTTTACAGCGGTGTGAAGTTAGCTGGAAAATAGTTAGCTGCCAAAGTGCCGATGATTGCCGAACGACCATGGGCGGAGGTCAACAATTTGAATAAATTGAATTAATTCAAAATGCTTTAGCAACAATTAGAGATTGAAGTTTACCGGTAATTTTCATTTGTTCTTTCTCAGAGGTAATTTACCGGTAATTTCCCCAATTTGACACCCCATTCGACCCCCCAGTCTCCTCGATAGACTGGTAAAATCAGAAACACGACAAAAAAAAATTCTAAAAAAATCGAAGATAGTTTTGTTTCACCAAATTTCGAGATTTATTTGAAAGAACAGACTCCACTCTACAATTTGACACCCCATTCGACTCCCCAGTTCCCTCAATAGACCGGTAAAATCAGAAATACGACAAAAAAAAATTCTAAAAAATCGAAGACAATTTTGTTTCACCAAATTTCGAGATTTATTTGAAAGAACAGACTCCACTCTACAATTTGACACCCCATTCGACTCCCCAGACCCCTCAATAGACCGGTAAAATTAGAAACACAACAAAAAAAAAATCTAAAAAATCGAAGACAATTTTGTTTCACCAAATTTCGAGATTTATTTGAAAGAACAGACTCCACTCTACAATTTGACACCCCTTTCGACTCCCCAGTTCCCTCAATAGACCGGTAAAATCAGAAATACCACAAAACGAAATTCTAAAAAAATCGAAGATAGTGTTACAATATCGTCCGCCAGGCTGTCAAGAATCGATGGTGCAAATACTAGAATCTAGCGAATTATTCTACTTTAATCTGGAAAATTAGATTATCGTGTGTATTCTAGATTTTACAGGAATAGATTTAGGGATATATAAGAAGGCCGGCATTGATTTGTAAGTTAAGTTAAAGTTTGACTGTGATACGAGTTAAATAGTGATTATTGAGTTGTAAAGTTCAATTGTTGAGTTAGTTATTAAAGTAATTAGTGTCAGAGTGTATTGTTAAGTGGAATAAATTATTGCTGTGTTAATTGGACTTTGATTTTTGGAATAAACGAAACGAACGACGAACCCAGGATTTCTGTCAGCAGGCAACCCAAAGCCGCGACAAGTGGTGTCAGGAGTTAGATATAAAGGACTGCAGAGTGAAATCCAATTACGGAAGTGCGGGGACACTAGTGTAGCATAAAAACTGAACACTAAGTGAACACTGGGACAGTTAGTGCAGTGCAAACAGTGACAATCCCAAAAAGAGACTCAACCGATCGTGTGAATTATCCCGGAAGTGACTCTATCCCCGATTTAGACTGTGATAGTGAATCTTCGAGTGAGTTCTAGAAAATTCTATTTGGAAACTAAGGGAGATATCGAATTTGTGACTTCGCCGACGCATTCGGAACATCAATCGTCATTCAGAAGAAGTTTTTCGAGGAGTTTCGGGAAAATTCTAGAACATTCTATTTGGAAACCAAGGGAGATATCGAAATTGTGACTTCACCAACGTGTTTGCTGTATCAATCGACATCTAGAAAAGGAGTTTCAAGAAAATTCCAGAACATTCTATTCTAGAATAAGGCAAGTTATACAATTTGTGACTTCACCGGCGTGTTTGGAACTTCGAGCAAAGACCAGAAAAGATATTTGAAGAAAGTTCGAGGGAAATTCTAGAACATTCTGTATATGCCTATCACAAGACAACAAGCCAAAATGGACGAACAAAAGGTTGAAGAACTCCTGCGCAAAATGTTGGAACTTCAAGAGACCAAACGACAACAAGAAAAACAAGACGAAGAAGCTAGACGACAACAAGAAGAAGCTAGGCGACAACAAGAACGGCAAGAAGACCTTGCAAAACTGCAGAAGATATTCCAAACCATACAAGGAACTGTCGCTAACTTAGACCAGAAGATTGAAAAAGTTAAAGACGATGTGCAAGAAGTTAAACACGACGTCCAGGAAGTAAAAACTGAAGTCAAAATCGATGTTCAAGAAGTTAAAGACGATGTAAGAGAAGTTAAACACGACGTTCAGGGAGTAAAAGCTGAAGTCAAAGCCGATGTTCAAGAAGTTAAAGACGATGTTCAGCAATTAAGACAAGAAGTAGAGGACCAAGTACAAGCACTCGAAGATTAGGTGCGTAAATTAGAAATACAGTCCATAAATCCAGCTAGTGTTGGAGCATTCTCCAGTATGAAGATAAAACCACCAACTTTCGACGGTTCTACGTCCTGGACCATGTATATTCGACAATTTGAAGTTGCTGCAAATACCAACGGATGGAACGACCAAGAAAAAGCTACAGCACTAATAGTGGCGCTACGAGGACCGGCCTTAGACCTTCTTCAGTCCATTCCTTCAGTCTACCAACAGAATTACCAGCATCTTAGTCAAACTTTAGAACTGCGCTTCGGAGACCATTACAGACAAGAAGTATTCAGAACTCAAGTTAAATCAAGAGTTCAAAAACCCGGCGAGAGTTTACAAGAATTCGAATCGGAAGTTAAAAGGCTAGTGAGTTTGGCGTTTCCTGCAGCTGGGGAAGACATGCAGGAATGGATGGCAGTATCTGCGTTTATTGATGGTCTCCGGAATTCCAAAATCCAGGAAAACCTAAGAATGTCCAAGTTCAGGAAAAATAGCGAAGCCCTTGTCCGAGCATTAGAACTGGAAGCAATCTTTGGTGCTTCAACACTCAGAATACGAGCAGTGACCATTCAAGACCCAAAGGATGAACAAACGTCAAAAGAAGATGGTAGCTTCAAGAATCTTATGAGTAAGTTCACGGAAAAGTTGAAGAAACTAGTACTAGAAGTTAGACAAATGGAAAACGACTCCAAACAAACAGCAACACCAAGAAACCGAGTAAAATGTTACCGGTGTCAAAGGCTTGGACACATGCAATGGGATTGTAGACTAAGGATGACCTCTCCATCTAGGGATCGCTCCCAAAGCTTTTGGAGGTCCAGAGACGCTAGTCCTAAACATCGACCTGGAAACCCGCATGAGAAGAACACTAGTCCAGCTGTGAGAAGAACGGGCCTGATCGTTGATGACAAGTGGTCTACGAAACAAATGAGAGAAGATCAGGAGGCAGACCAGGACATCGGGCAAATTCTACATCTTAAAGAAAATGATCAATGTAGGCCAGAATGGAGAGAAGTGTCAAACAAGAGCTTGATTTACAAGGCGTTGTGGGCCCAATGGAACTCTCTGGCCGTAGAAAATGGTTTGCTCAAAAGAGTTTGGGAAAGTGCCGATGGGAAATCAACTAAGAGCCAACTGGTTATCCCAAAAGACCGAGTGGAAGATGTATTAAAAGAAATACATGACGGAACCTCAGGGGCACATTTCGGAGTTAACAAGACTTTGGACAAAATTCGGGAACGTTTTCACTGGGTTCACTACCATGAAGACGTTAAAAGCTGGTGCCGAAAATGCGACATCTGTGCTACCAGTAAAGGCCCTAAACTAAGATCTCGGAGGCCCATGAAACAGTACAACGTCGGTCTCCCATTTGAAAGAATAGCGATAGATATTGCTGGACCGTTCCCAGAGTCAAAGCGTGGTAACAAATACATCTTGGTTATCATGGATTACTTCAGTAAATGGCCAGAAGTTTTTGCTATTCCCAATCAAGAAGCCATCACTGTTGCCCAGGTGCTAGTGGACGAAGTTTTTATTCGTCATGGTGTACCACTAGAGTTACATTCAGACCAAGGACGAAACTTCGAATCTGCCATCTTTAAGAAAGTTTGTGAGATCATGGGCATTTATAAGACAAGGACAACACCTTTACACCCTCAATCTGATGGCATGGTGGAACGATTCAATAAGACCATAGAGGAACACCTGACAAAAGTGGTCGCAAAGAACCAACGAGATTGGGACAAGCATTTGCCTCTATTTTTAATGGCTTACAGAGCAGCTGTTCACGAGTCATCAGGTGAAAGTCCAGCCAGAATCGTTTTTGGAAGAGAACTCAGGTTACCTTGCGATCTGATGTTTGGGATACCTGAAGAAGAACGAAAAGAAATTCGAGACTATGCCGACGAAGTAAGGGCACGACTTCTGGGTATCCATGATTTTGCTCGGGAGCATATTCAACTAGCCAGTGACCGGATGAAGACCAGATAGGATCTGAAAGCTAATTCAGCCGGATTTCAAGAAGGTGATTTGGTGTGGCTGTATAATCCAGCTAGAAAGAAAGGAGTATCGCCGAAATTGTCCTCAGCATGGGAAGGACCCTACAAAATAATCAAGAGGATCAATGATTTGGTTTATCGGGTCCAACGCAACACCAGGAGTAAGATGAAAGTTGTACATCTGGACAGATTGGCGAAATATCATGGGCGCGAAGTTGATCGGGACGATCAACCTTGAGAGGAGTGCAGTGTCACAATAATGCTAAACGTCCGCCAGGCTGTCAAGAATCGATGGCGAAGATTCTACTTCAATCTGGAAAATAAGATTATCGTGTGTATTCTAGATTTTACAGGAATAGATTTAGGGATATATAAGAAGGCCGGCATTGATTTGTAAGTTTAGTTTTCAGTTCGAGTGTGATACGATTTAAATAGTGATTGTAAAGAGTTTAATTGTTGAGTTTGTTAATAAAGTAATTAGTGTCAGAGTGTTTTGTTAAGTGGAATAAATTATTGCTGTGTTAATTGGTCTTTGATTTTTGGAATAAGCGAAACGAACAACGAACCCAAGATTTTTGTCAGCAGGCAACCCAAAGCCGCGACAATAATTTCAAGTATTTTTCAATTGTTGCTAAAGCATTTTGAATTAATTTAATTTATTTAAATTGTTGACCTCCGCCCATGGTCGTTCGGCAATCATCGGCACTTTGGCAGCTAACTATTTGTCAGCTAACTTCACACCTCTATTTTTTTACCAGCATTAGTGGTTTCATGTCAAGTTTATGTAAATACAATAAGTACAAAATTTGAGACAAAAGTTTCAACTTGGAGACTCAACATCTCGAAAACTCTTTTAGATAAATTATTCAATTTTGTTTTATCTCAAAGAGCATTTAAAAAATCAAAAAAAAGGAATTTTCAATATTTTAAAAATTCTGACAAAGTTCAGAAAAATTGTCAATATTCTCATTAAAATTTTTGCAAATCAAAATTAATTATACACGATTAAAAAGAGCATTAAATTCTCTATAAATCCATGATAAATTGAATTTGATACTTTTTGAGCAATTGATCCGCAATATACTTACGAATTTGTAATACCCCATAAGTAGGTAAAGTTACTTTAAATTGAATTTCTATATAAAAACGCTCTACAAAATCCAAAGAAAAACCGTGGCAACACTGTAGACCAACTCAACAACTTACCAATATTGGTAGGGGACTTTCCGTCTCCGTCTCGCACAAGACAAACCGGTTTGCCTCCCTTTCTTATTCACTAGAGTGCAACCAATTTACCAACAGGCCAAGAAGCAAGCAGAAGAATGTTGGTGGTGAATTTCAACATTTTCTTGTCTGCACCATACAAAAGGTCATTCCGTGAAAGAAACATGCATCAGGTAGAGAGGAAGGCCTTTTTGGGGTGGTACACTCATCCTTATTTACTTTGGACGATTGTAAATTGGAATTAATTTTGATTCAAATCAATATTCTAGCTATTGGTGGTACCCATATAAAAGTACTGATAGCATTAACTATTAACAAATAGTTTTCTAATAATTAATTCCGCATACATACTATATTATGGATTGATAAATGGGTACCGGTATCATTATTTTCGCATTCATTTTTAGTTGGTTTGAAATAGTTTCTAAGTAACCTTGTTTTTTTTTTTTCTGTGGTGCAATTGTGTTTTTGGCAAGACAATAATGAGGTTCAAAAATGGGTATTTTTTCAAAAATATGGTACCCAAAAAGAAGGATTTTTGTTGCTTGTTTATGGGCTATAGGTAATACATGTTTCTATATATAGGATTTTGAACATATTGGTTCAATGCCTAGCCCAATTTTTTTCACTAAGTACCTCTACTGAAATGAAACGTTTCAACGAATATCTTAATCTTTTTAAGACTAAAAAAACATATGAGAATATAGAATATGTATGAAATGATTCTAAATCTAGTTTAACTACTAGTGGCTGACCCTGGTATTTCAACTGTGTAAATAAAACTTTAATTTCTGCTGATGAAGACTCATTTGTATGATTAAAACATGCATCTGTTACGTTCTACCAAGAACTACCATCGGAATCCGCGGTGTGATGGCAATTTCACGAACCTCTGAAGTGATTGACCTGTGTTATGTTTCAAGGGCACAAGAACTTTGAATTTCAAGCAAATTTTTATTATTTATATATAGACATACAATACGTTTTTCTAGCATGATATTATATAACAAAATTACTGCAGTAGGTACCACTACGTCGCATTAATTGTACTGGTGTCAAGGTTAATTTTATTCAGTCATCTTCAGTTTTGCTGTACAATATAAGCACAATAATTTCAGTCTCGTTGAAATGCAAACACAAATTACCTGGGCAATTAAAATCATTCAAAGTAAAAATGGACGACCAACTTCAAGAGTTTTTTAGTAGAAAATATTCACAAGCAAAGTTTCTTGTAGTGTGTCTTTTAAATGATAGTTTTAATATTTATTTACAACACAAGTTAAAGAAACTGGAATTTAAACCATCTTTGGGAGTGGCCACAGATAAATATGACTCGTATGTATTTTCAATGTGTAATCATGATGTATAATTTTTTATTTCAGAAAACTCGGTCTCGATTTGGTACCGCGTCAAGGCTCTAACATGGTCGAACCAGACTCGATGTCTGTAGTTGAGCTCTATCATGTTCATGTAGCCAGTGCAGAAAATTCTTTCACTGTTTCAGTAAGTGAGCATTTGCAATCCTTCACAACATAGCTTGATTATTTTTATTCCAGTCTAGAGGTACAATCAAGAAAAAGGAGCTCAAGAAAACTCTAACTCATCATCTATATTTTTGCATGCGAGACTTTGGCCATCACATTGGTGAAGACACTGAAGTATATTTTTCTCTATACGATGCCGGCAAGCTAAAGTATCTAAGCGAACGTTTCCTAGTCAAAATATCCAAAGAAGGTTTCACAAACCACATTGAAAAGTTGCACAGCAATTGCACAGTATTCACGGATCTAGGCAATTCCGATCTGAACAAGGACATTTACATTGTGGCTCACGTTATGCGAATAGGCAAAATGCTTTATTCAGACAGTTCTAAGAGAACTGAAAAATCAGCTGGACAACCTCAGTTGTTTAGAAGACCTCACGGTATTGGTGTACAGAATATTGGAGAATTTTTAAATAGTAAATCCGAGGATGGAGAGGAAAAAGAAATCAGCATGAAGGTAATCAATTACTTCTATTATCTAACTAATTGATAGAATAATTATTTTAGGTTTATCAAGGTGAAGATAAAGACTTTCATCAGCTGCACGAGTTTATAATAAGACAATCTGGAAAATATTCAGCATTATCTGGCCCAATAAATTACGGAATAATGATTAGCTTAAAAATGCTCCACGGAGAATTGCGCACCATAAGAGAAGAAAACCCGTTGCTTTTCAAAAATGTCTGCTTAACAAGCAAACTAGGTTTTCCAGATGTAATAATGCCAGGAGACGTAAGAAACGATTTATATTTAGTTTTGGATAAAGGCGAATTTGAAAGAGGTGGAAAATCAACTGGCAAAAATATCGAAGTAACAGTTTTGGTATTAGATGGTGCAAAAAATATTGTCAGAAATTGTCTTTGGGGGGCTTCAGGTATAGAAGGCGTTTCCGAATATAATTCAATGATCATTTACCATCACAATTCGCCTGCTTGGGCTGAAAATATCAGGCTAACTTTGCCCATAGACAAATTTGCTGGAGCTCATGTACGTCTTGAATACAGGCATTGCTCAACCCGTGAAAAAAACGACAAAAAACTTTTTGGATTTTCCTTTTTGAGGCTCATGGATAAAGACGGGGCGGCTGTACAAGATGGCCAACACGAATTATACATTTACAAGTGTGAAGATTCTAGCAAATTAGAAAATTGCGGCTATTTGGCTTTGCCATCTTTTGCTAAAGATTATGAAGGAAATCACGAGGCAAGTGGGCAGTTTTCTAGGAGCCAGAAAGAAATGATTGCCATAAAAACTCTTTTGTGTTCCACAAAATTGACTCAAAACGTCGATCTTTTGGCTTTGCTTCGTTGGAAATCGCATCCTGCTCGTATACAAGAATCTCTCACTAGAGTTTTGAAACTTGGAGCTGAAGAATTGATTAAGTTTTTGCAAGATGTTTTGGATGCACTGTTTGCCTTGTTTTCGACTGAAGATGGTAATTCTACTCCGCAAAGTGGCTTGGTTTTTCATGTGTTGGTGTCAATTTTCAATTTGCTGGATGGCAGCAAGTATCAACATTTCAAGCCTGTGCTGAACGCTTATATTACCAACCATTTTGCTGCTGCACTAGTTTACAAGTAAGAATTTTTTATGTATTTTAATAAGGCCTGGTTTATTCATCTTTAGGTAAACTTGCTGGTAATTATTTGCATTCTGTAATTCTATTGGCCTTCTGCATAGGCTATTTTGTTTCTAAATGATCATTACTCCATACACTAAATTATTCTGAGATTTGGAGCCAGATTCTATAAAAAAGGTGCTTAGAAAAATTGAAAAATTGATAAATCACCCCAAATTGCTTAACACGATTTTATATCAGGAACTATAAGTGCAAATGAGCTGAAATTTTCAGGGATTGTAGTCTCCTAATTGGGATAAAATTCAGTGAAAGTTTCAGCTTTCTATCTGTAAGAGAAAAAAAGTTATGACCTTTCAAAGTTTTCCAAAATCTAAATCATAAGGTAGGTACCTTCTTACTTGAATGATGAAATTTCAAATTTTTTTTTGTCGAGATTTTGTATCCTAATGGTCAATCAACATCCCCCAAACTCCATACACTGAATTATTCTCAGATTTGAAGCCGAAATCTATGAAAAAAGGCACTCAGAAAAATTGAAAAATTGATTAATCACCCCAAATTGCTTAACACAATTTTATCTCAGGAACTATAAGTGCAAATGAGCTGAAATTTTCAGGGATTGTAGTCCCCTAATTGGGATAAAATTCAGTGAAAGTTTCAGCTTTCTATCTGTAATAGAAAAAAAGTTATGACCTTTCAAAGTTTTCCAAAATCTAAATCATAAGGTAGGTACCTTCTTACTTGAATGATGAAATTTCAAATTTTTTTTTGTCGAGATTTTGTATCCTAATGGTCAATCAACATCCCCCAAACTCCATACACTGAATTATTCTCAGATTTGAAGCCGAAATATATGAAAAAAGGCACTCAGAAAAATTGAAAAATTGATTAATCACCCCAAATTGCTTAACACAATTTTATCTCAGGAACTATAAGTGCAAATGAGCTGAAATTTTCAGGGATTGTAGCCCCTAATTGGGATAAAATTCAGTGAAAGTTTCAGCTTTCTATCTGTAAGAGAAAAAAAGTTATGACCTTTCAAAGTTTTCCAAAATCTAAATCATAAGGTAGGTACCTTCTTACTTGAATGATGAAATTTCAAATTTTTTTTTGTCGAGATTTTGTATCCTAATGGTCAATCAACATCCCCCAAACTCCATACACTGAATTATTCTCAGATTTGAAGCCGAAATCTATGAAAAAAGGCACTCAGAAAAATTGAAAAATTGATTAATCACCCCAAATTGCTTAACACAATTTTATCTCAGGAACTATAAGTGCAAATGAGCTGAAATTTTCAGGGATTGTAGTCCCTTGATTGGGATAAAATTCAGTGAAAGTTTCAGCATTCTATCTGTAATAGAAACAAAGTTATGACCTTTCAAAGTTTTCCAAAATCTAAATCATAAGGTAGGTACCTTCTTACTTAAATGATGAAATTTCAATTTTTTTTTTGTCGAGATTTTGTATCCTTATGGTCAATCAACATCCCCCAAACTCCATACACTAAATTATTCTCAGATTTGAAGCCGAAATCTATGAAAAAAGGCACTCAGAAAAATTGAAAAATTGATAAATCACCCCAAATTGCTTAACACGATTTTATCTCAGGAACTATAAGTGCAAATGAGCTGAAATTTTCAGGGATTGTAGTCCCCTAATTGGGATAAAATTCAGTGAAAGTTTCAGCTTTCTATCTGCAATAGAAAAAAAGTTATGACCTTTCAAAGTTTTCCAAAATCTAAATCATAACCTTCTTACTTAAATGATGAAATTTCAAAATTTTTTTTGTCGAGATTTTGTATCCTTATGGTCAATCAACATCCCCCAAACTCCATACACTGAATTATTCTCAGATTTGAAGCCGAAATCTATGAAAAAAGGCACTCAGAAAAATTGAAAAATTGATAAATCACCCCAAATTGCTTAACACGATTTTATCTCAGGAACTATAAGTGCAAATGAGCTGAAATTTTCAGGGATTGTAGTCCATAGGTTATCATTGATCTTATAACCATTTTGTGTAACCACAGATTCATCTTTAGGTTAAATACCCAACCTTCTGCATCTCCCCAGGAAAATTGAAGCCTTTTGGACAACCTTGGTTGAAGTGTGGACCCTAAAAATGACTCCTTAGATATTTTATCTCTTTTGAGAAGGGAATTTTTGCTTCGCCAAGCTTAAGACCTCAAAGCCCTCTTAATGCTCTTTACTTTGTAAATGGAATAATAACAAGTTTTCCTACCTGTTGGTAGATTACTCGCCAACCAATGAGGCTACAGATTGCGTTTTCATCTCTCAAATTACATTATCAGAAAATGAATAAACCAGCACTTAATTATTAAAAATTATATCCTGAAACTAATTATTGTAATTTAAATTAGGGGTCTTCTCACAAGCGTCCAACACTGCGCCGATTGGGTAGTTTCCTTCGAAAAACAAGAACCCATCCAAAAATGCTTCAAAAGCCTAGAGTACATTTTCAAGCTTATCATCCAAAGTCGCTTATTATTCTCCAGAGCAACTGGAGGACATTTTGAAGACAACTTCAGAAGGGATTTGTATAGTGTATTCTCAAGCTTGAACCAAATGTTAAAAATCAATGATCCACATATTATTAATACACAGGTAAGTAATACTAAATATAAAACTACATATTTTAAACAATTATTATTTAGGTTGCGTTACTTTTGGCTATTAGTGCAGTTTATGAACAACTCAGTGAAGTTCTGCCAACAATCGAATGCACTAAATTATCTGCAACTATGTTGGATTCAATACCGAAAGATTTGCCTCCATTACTTGTCCAAGCAAAATTGGCTTGCATTAAAAATTTGGTTACAAGTAAATTGTTCCAAGATGATGAATCCAGAGGCATTTTGTTAACTAATGCCTGCAAACATCTCCGTTACCACTTGATTCGTAAAGAAGAACTAAAATTATGCACAGAAATAATGGGCGAAGTTTTAGGCTTTCTGTTTAAGCAAAGGAAGTTGGGCGAAGAGCAAGGGAAAATCAATAATTGTATTCATCACGATGTTGATACGTTGAATTTGAGTATTTTGGAGGTTCTTATTCAAACTGTTTTGAGTGTTATCGATAAGGATTTGAAAATTTTGGGCTGTTTAGTTGCTTGTCTGATTGGGATTTTACAACTTTTGGACGAGTTTCATTACAAACATTTATGGGAAGGACTTATGGGACAAAATTACGATAGGAAACCTTTAAAAGATTTCCTATTGAGGGTAAAGACTTTATAAATGTATAAATAGGCTTTTATTGGATAGATTTTTTTTTAGGTATTTTTAGTTTTCCGCAACTTGATTATAATGGAAGTTTTCCCATTGGATTGGCTCATCATCAAAATGCTAACAAATAATGTTATTTTGAAAGCTTTGCAGGAGTTTGCACAACCTTTGGCTTTTAAATTTTTGGACAGTAGGGCTGGATATTTTGACAAAGAGGCAAGTTAATAAATACAATTCTAAACCCAATTTTGATGAAACAATCTTTAGCTATGGACCAATTATTTCAATCTCTCTGTTGACTATCTAACTCAACAATCGCTTCAACTGGAACAATTTTCCGATGTAAAACGTGAAAAAATAATTGAAAAATACGGCGACATGAGAGTCCTTATGGGCTTTCAAATTCTGTCAATGTGGTCTCAATTGGGTGAATGCAAGCTCCATTTTATCCCGTCTATGGTGGGACCATTTTTAGAGGTCACTCTAGTACCTGAAATAGAGCTGCGCAAAGCCACTATGCACATATTTTTCGACATGATGGAGTGCGAACACATAGCCAGAGGCAACTTTAGACAAGTCGAATGTGAGCTAATTGATAAACTGGATATTTTGATTAGTGAGAATAAAGGAGACGATGAGTATAGGAGATTGTTTAATACCATGTAAGTTATTTCAATTTATTAAATTTCTTTGGAACCCAATTTGGCTTTGAATATATTATATATTTTTTTTTGATTCGGCGGATTTTTGTGTGAATATTAGGGGGGGCCTTTTCTTAATCAAAATGTACAGGGGAAGCCACTCGGCAAGCCAAGTAAGAAGCAATCCTTTTAATCATTGGGGCCTATGCAAAATTGAATTTTTTACTCTAAAACTGCATAAATTATTTGAAAATATTAAGAAAATATCGGAGAAAAGCCTATGAAAAAATGTTTCGAAAAAAATAAAAACGAAAATTAATAGGGATGAGGCTTTTCCAGCCTGACATGGTCTTATTGAATCGGCCATAACTCTGAAAATCCTGGACCGATTTCACTGAATCATGTTTCATTCGATAGAAGATTAAATTGCCTACAAAATGGCTTTACCAGAATTTCCAGAATCCTAATGTTTTCAAGTTATCAGCCTTCAAATTTTTCGAAAACAGTATATTTCTTAAGGGAAATTCGAAAAAAAAAATCGATTTTCGGGTATCGTTGGGGCCACTATTATAACCAAGGGGTAAACCACCATCCCAGAATTAGTGCAAACAATTCCTCAAAGGGGAATTTTTTACGCATAATTCCTCAAAATTCCGAACTTGTCCAAATACCTCACAAATTCCTCAAAAAAATTTTGAAACTTTTCGTATGTGAAGAGAAAGGTGAGAAGCTCATTTTCCCAAAATTTCAAATTTTTCCAGTGGAAAACAGCAATATGAAAAATCTTGGAAATCAACCTACAATAACTGAATTAATTGAAAATACAGTCTCACACATTTCAAAAATTTCCTGGAAAACTAGTGAAGGGAAAATTTTGAAACTTTTTGCATGTAAAGAGGAAGGTGGGAAGCTCATTTTCCCAAAGTTTCAAATTTTTCCAGTGAAAAATAACAACATGAAAAATCTTGGAAATCGACCTACAATAACTGAATTAATTGAAAATACAGTCTCAAATATTTCAAAGTTTTCCTTGGAAACTAATGAAGAGAAAATTTTGAAACTTTTTGCCTGTAAAGAGGAAGATGAGAAGATCATTTTCCCAAAATTTGAAACTTTTCCAGTGGAAAACAGCAACATGAAAAATCTTGGAAATCAACCTTCAAAAACTGAACTAGTTAAAAATACAGTCTCACAAATTTCAAAGTTTTCCTTGAAAACTAGTGTAGAGATATATTTGAAACTTTTTGCATGTAAAGAGAAAGGTGGGAAGCTCATTTTCCCGAAATTTCAAATTTTTCCAGTGGAAAATAACAACATGAAAAATCTTATAAATCAACCTACATAAACTGAATTAGTTGAAAATACGGTCCCACACTCTTCAATGTTTTCCTGGAAAACTAGTAAAGGGAAAATTTTGAAACTTTTTGCGTGTAAAGAGGAAGGTGAGGCTCATTTTCCCAAAATTTTAAATTTTTCAAGTAGAAAATTACAACATGAAGAATCTTGGAAATCAAACTACAATAACTGAATTAGTTGAAAATACAGTCTCACACATTTCAAAGTTTTCTTGGAAAACCAGAGAAGGGAAAATGTTGAAACTTTTTGCATGTAAAGAGGAAGGTGAGAAACTCATTTTCCCAGAATTTCAAATTTTTCCAGTAGAAAATTACAACATGAGGAATCTGGAATCTTGAAAATCAACCTGTAATAACTGAATTAATTGAAAATACAGTCTCACATATTTCAAAGTTTTCCTGGAAAACCAGAAAAGGGAAAATGTTGAAACTTTTTGCATGTAAAGAGGAAGGTGAGAAGCTCATTTTCTCAGAATTTCAAATTTTTCCAGTAGAAAATTACAACATGAGGAATCTGGAATCTTGAAAATCAACCTGTAATAACTGAATTAATTGAAAATACAGTCTCATTCAAAGTTTTCCTGGAAAACCAGAGAAGGGAAAATGTTGAAACTTTTTGCATGTAAAGAGGAAGGTGAGAAACTCATTTTCCCAGAATTTCAAATTTTTCCAGTAGAAAATTACATGAGGAATCTGGAATCTTGAAAATCAACCTATAATAACTGAATTAATTGAAAATACAGTCTCACATATTTCAAAGTTTTCCTGGAAAACCAGAGAAGGGAAAATGTTGAAACTTTTTGCATGTAAAGAGGAAGGTGAGAAACTCATTTTCCCAGAATTTCAAATTTTTCCAGTAGAAAATTACAACATGAGGAATCTGGAATCTTGAAAATCAACCTATAATAACTGAATTAATTGAAAATACAGTCTCACATATTTCAAAGTTTTCCTGGAAAACCAGAGAAGGGAAAATGTTGAAACTTTTTGCATGTAAAGAGGAAGGTGAGAAGCTCATTTTCTCAGAATTTCAAATTTTTCCAGTAGAAAATTTCAACATGAGGAATCTGGAATCTTGAAAATCAACCTATAATAACTGAATTAATTGAAAATACAGTCTCACATATTTCAAAGTTTTCCTGGAAAACCAGAGAAGGGAAAATGTTGAAACTTTTTGCATGTAAAGAGGAAGGTGAGAAACTCATTTTCCCAGAATTTCAAATTTTTCCAGTAGAAAATTACAACATGAGGAATCTGGAATCTTGAAAATCAACCTATAATAACTGAATTAATTGAAAATACAGTCTCACATATTTCAAAGTTTTCCTGGAAAACCAGAGAAGGGAAAATGTTGAAACTTTTTGCATGTAAAGAGGAAGGTGAGAAGCTCATTTTCTCAGAATTTCAAATTTTTCCAGTAGAAAATTACAACATGAGGAATCTGGAATCTTGAAAATCAACCTATAATAACTGAATTAATTGAAAATACAGTCTCACATATTTCAAAAATTTCCTGGAAAACTAGTGAAGGGAAAATGTTGAAACTTTTTGCATGTAAAGAGGAAGGTGAGAAGCTCATTTTCTCAGAATTTCAAATTTTTCCAGTAGAAAACTACAACATGAGGAATCTGGAATCTTGAAAATCAACCTATAATAACTGAATTAATTGAAAATACAGTCTCACATATTTCAAAGTTTTCCTGGAAAACCAGAGAAGGGAAAATGTTGAAACTTTTTGCATGTAAAGAGGAAGGTGAGAAGCTCATTTTCTCAGAATTTCAAATTTTTCCAGTAGAAAATTACAACATGAGGAATCTGGAATCTTGAAAATCAACCTGTAATAACTGAATTAATTGAAAATACAGTCTCATTCAAAGTTTTCCTGGAAAACCAGAGAAGGGAAAATGTTGAAACTTTTTGCATGTAAAGAGGAAGGTGAGAAGCTCATTTTCTCAGAATTTCAAATTTTTCCAGTAGAAAATTTCAACATGAGGAATCTGGAATCTTGAAAATCAACCTGTAATAACTGAATTAATTGAAAATACAGTCTCACATATTTCAAAGTTTTCTTGGAAAACCAGAAAAGGGAAAATGTTGAAACTTTTTGCATGTAAAGAGGAAGGTGAGAAGCTCATTTTCTCAGAATTTCAAATTTTTCCAGTAGAAAATTACAACATGAGGAATCTGGAATCTTGAAAATCAACCTGTAATAACTGAATTAATTGAAAATACAGTCTCATTCAAAGTTTTCCTGGAAAACCAGAGAAGGGAAAATGTTGAAACTTTTTGCATGTAAAGAGGAAGGTGAGAAACTCATTTTCCCAGAATTTCAAATTTTTCCAGTAGAAAATTACATGAGGAATCTGGAATCTTGAAAATCAACCTATAATAACTGAATTAATTGAAAATACAGTCTCACATATTTCAAAGTTTTCCTGGAAAACCAGAGAAGGGAAAATGTTGAAACTTTTTGCATGTAAAGAGGAAGGTGAGAAACTCATTTTCCCAGAATTTCAAATTTTTCCAGTAGAAAATTACAACATGAGGAATCTGGAATCTTGAAAATCAACCTATAATAACTGAATTAATTGAAAATACAGTCTCACATATTTCAAAGTTTTCCTGGAAAACCAGAGAAGGGAAAATGTTGAAACTTTTTGCATGTAAAGAGGAAGGTGAGAAACTCATTTTCCCAGAATTTCAAATTTTTCCAGTAGAAAATTACAACATGAGGAATCTGGGATCTTGAAAATCAACCTATAATAACTGAATTAATTGAAAATACAGTCTCACATATTTCAAAGTTTTCCTGGAAAACCAGAGAAGGGAAAATGTTGAAACTTTTTGCATGTAAAGAGGAAGGTGAGAAGCTCATTTTCTCAGAATTTCAAATTTTTCCAGTAGAAAATTTCAACATGAGGAATCTGGAATCTTGAAAATCAACCTATAATAACTGAATTAATTGAAAATACAGTCTCACATATTTCAAAGTTTTCCTGGAAAACCAGAGAAGGGAAAATGTTGAAACTTTTTGCATGTAAAGAGGAAGGTGAGAAACTCATTTTCCCAGAATTTCAAATTTTTCCAGTAGAAAATTACAACATGAGGAATCTGGAATCTTGAAAATCAACCTATAATAACTGAATTAATTGAAAATACAGTCTCACATATTTCAAAGTTTTCCTGGAAAACCAGAGAAGGGAAAATGTTGAAACTTTTTGCATGTAAAGAGGAAGGTGAGAAGCTCATTTTCTCAGAATTTCAAATTTTTCCAGTAGAAAATTACAACATGAGGAATCTGGAATCTTGAAAATCAACCTGTAATAACTGAATTAATTGAAAATACAGTCTCACATATTTCAAAGTTCTCCTGGAAAACCAGAGAAGGGAAAATGTTGAAACTTTTTGCATGTAAAGAGGAAGGTGAGAAACTCATTTTCCCAGAATTTCAAATTTTTCCAGTAGAAAATTACAACATGAGGAATCTGGAATCTTGAAAATCAACCTATAATAACTGAATTAATTGAAAATACAGTCTCACATATTTCAAAGTTTTCCTGGAAAACCAGAGAAGGGAAAATGTTGAAACTTTTTGCATGTAAAGAGGAAGGTGAGAAACTCATTTTCCCAGAATTTCAAATTTTTCCAGTAGAAAATTACAACATGAGGAATCTGGAATCTTGAAAATCAACCTATAATAACTGAATTAATTGAAAATACAGTCTCACATATTTCAAAGTTTTCCTGGAAAACCAGAGAAGGGAAAATGTTGAAACTTTTTGCATGTAAAGAGGAAGGTGAGAAGCTCATTTTCTCAGAATTTCAAATTTTTCCAGTAGAAAATTTCAACATGAGGAATCTGGAATCTTGAAAATCAACCTATAATAACTGAATTAATTGAAAATACAGTCTCACATATTTCAAAGTTTTCCTGGAAAACCAGAGAAGGGAAAATGTTGAAACTTTTTGCATGTAAAGAGGAAGGTGAGAAGCTCATTTTCTCAGAATTTCAAATTTTTCCAGTAGAAAATTACAACATGAGGAATCTGGAATCTTGAAAATCAACCTATAATAACTGAATTAATTGAAAATACAGTCTCACATATTTCAAAGTTTTCCTGGAAAAGCAGAGAAGGGAAAATGTTGAAACTTTTTGCATGTAAAGAGGAAGGTGAGAAGCTCATTTTCTCAGAATTTCAAATTTTTCCAGTAGAAAATTACAACATGAGGAATCTGGAATCTTGAAAATCAACCTGTAATAACTGAATTAATTGAAAATACAGTCTCACATATTTCAAAGTTTTCCTGGAAAACCAGAGAAGGGAAAATGTTGAAACTTTTTGCATGTAAAGAGGAAGGTGAGAAACTCATTTTCCCAGAATTTCAAATTTTTCCAGTAGAAAATTACAACATGAGGAATCTGGAATCTTGAAAATCAACCTGTAATAACTGAATTAATTGAAAATACAGTCTCACATATTTCAAAGTTTTCCTGGAAAACCAGAGAAGGGAAAATGTTGAAACTTTTTGCATGTAAAGAGGAAGGTGAGAAGCTCATTTTCTCAGAATTTCAAATTTTTCCAGTAGAAAATTACAACATGAGGAATCTGGAATCTTGAAAATCAACCTGTAATAACTGAATTAATTGAAAATACAGTCTCACATATTTCAAAGTTTTCCTGGAAAACCAGAGAAGGGAAAATGTTGAAACTTTTTGCATGTAAAGAGGAAGGTGAGAAACTCATTTTCCCAGAATTTCAAATTTTTCCAGTAGAAAATTACAACATGAGGAATCTGGAATCTTGAAAATCAACCTATAATAACTGAATTAATTGAAAATACAGTCTCACATATTTCAAAGTTTTCCTGGAAAACCAGAGAAGGGAAAATGTTGAAACTTTTTGCATGTAAAGAGGAAGGTGAGAAGCTCATTTTCTCAGAATTTCAAATTTTTCCAGTAGAAAATTACAACATGAGGAATCTGGAATCTTGAAAATCAACCTGTAATAACTGAATTAATTGAAAATACAGTCTCACATATTTCAAAGTTTTCCTGGAAAACCAGAGAAGGGAAAATGTTGAAACTTTTTGCATGTAAAGAGGAAGGTGAGAAACTCATTTTCCCAGAATTTCAAATTTTTCCAGTAGAAAATTACAACATGAGGAATCTGGAATCTTGAAAATCAACCTATAATAACTGAATTAATTGAAAATACAGTCTCACATATTTCAAAGTTTTCCTGGAAAACCAGAGAAGGGAAAATGTTGAAACTTTTTGCATGTAAAGAGGAAGGTGAGAAACTCATTTTCCCAGAATTTCAAATTTTTCCAGTAGAAAATTACAACATGAGGAATCTGGAATCTTGAAAATCAACCTGTAATAACTGAATTAATTGAAAATACAGTCTCACATATTTCAAAGTTTTCCTGGAAAACCAGAGAAGGGAAAATGTTGAAACTTTTTGCATGTAAAGAGGAAGGTGAGAAGCTCATTTTCCCAGAATTTCAAATTTTTCCAGTAGAAAATTACAACATGAGGAATCTGGAATCTTGAAAATCAACCTGTAATAACTGAATTAATTGAAAATACAGTCTCACATATTTCAAAGTTTTCCTGGAAAACCAGAGAAGGGAAAATGTTGAAACTTTTTGCATGTAAAGAGGAAGGTGAGAAACTCATTTTCCCAGAATTTCAAATTTTTCCAGTAGAAAATTACAACATGAGGAATCTGGAATCTTGAAAATCAACCTATAATAACTGAATTAATTGAAAATACAGTCTCACATATTTCAAAGTTTTCCTGGAAAACCAGAGAAGGGAAAATGTTGAAACTTTTTGCATGTAAAGAGGAAGGTGAGAAGCTCATTTTCTCAGAATTTCAAATTTTTCCAGTAGAAAATTACAACATGAGGAATCTGGAATCTTGAAAATCAACCTATAATAACTGAATTAATTGAAAATACAGTCTCACATATTTCAAAGTTTTCCTGGAAAACCAGAGAAGGGAAAATGTTGAAACTTTTTGCATGTAAAGAGGAAGGTGAGAAGCTCATTTTCTTAGAATTTCAAATTTTTCCAGTAGAAAATTACAACATGAGGAATCTGGAATCTTGAAAATCAACCTATAATAACTGAATTAATTGAAAATACAGTCTCACATATTTCAAAGTTTTCCTGGAAAACTAATGAAGGGAAAATTTTGAAACTTTTTGCGTGTAAAGAGGAAGATGTAAAGCTCATTTTCCCAAAATTTCAAATTTTTCAAGTTGAAAATTACAACATGAATAATCTTGGAAATCAACCTACAATAACTGAATTATTTGAAAATACAGTCTCACTTATTTCAAAGTTTTCCTGAAAAAAGTGATAGAGAAATTTGAAACTTTTTGCATGTAAAGAGGAAGCTGAGAAGCTCATTTTCCCAAAATTTAAAATTTTTCCAGTGAAAAATAACAACATGAAAAATATTGAAAATCAACCTACAAAAACTGAATTAATTGAAAATACAGTCTCACACATTTCAAAGTTTTCCTGGAAAACTATTAAAGGGAAAATTTTGAAACTTTTTGCATATAGAGAGGAAGGTGAGAAGCTCATTTTCTCAAAATTTCAAACTTTTCCAGTAGAAAATTACAACATGACGAATCTTGAAAATCAACCTATAGTAACTGAATTAATTGAAAATACAGTCTCACATATTTCAAAGTTTTCCTGGAAAACCAGTGAAGGGAAAATTTTGAAACTTTTTGCATGTAAAGAGGAAGGTGAGAAGCTTATTTTCCCAAAGTTTCAAATTTTTCCAGTGAAAAATAATAACATGAAAAATCTTGGAAATTAACCTACAAAAATTGAATTAGTTGAAAATACAGTCTCACACATTTCAAAGTTTTCCTGGAAAACTAATAAACGGAAAATTTTGAAACTTTTTGCATATAGAGAGGAAGGTGAGGAGCTCATTTTCCCAAAATTTCAAATTTTTTCAGTGGAAAATAACAACATGAAAAATCTTGAAAATCAGCCTTCAAAAACTGTATTCATTATTCTTTTGAACTTTTTAAATTTGACAATTTCCTTTAAATTCGTTATAAATTCCTCACAAATTCTCCCAAATTCCCCATAAATTCCTCCAAATTCCCTATAAATTCCCCAAATTCTCATAAATTCAGATGAGTTCCTTAAAATTCTTCACAAATTCCTCTAAATTTCCCACAAATTCCTCTAAATTCCCCACATTTTTGGCAAAGAATTCCTAGTTGGTTTGCCCCTTGATTATAACCTAATTGCAGAAAAATTTGCAAATTTTCATTTTGATTTTTTAAGGGGAAATTTTTGATAAGGGCTTAATCCATGTTTTTTTGAATTTGAAATTTCAAACGCCCATAACTTGGAAACCGTAAGTCTGAGAGACAATTTTTTTGAATAAAAATTGTAGTTCTTAATGAGTACTACAAAGAAGTAACTTAAGTTTTTCCTCCACGACTTACGGGTTTTGAGATTTTTGAGTTTGAAGCTTTTTAATTTTTTTTTCTGGAAATATCAAATTTGCAGCTTCATAACTCTGGAACGGTTTTAGTTATTAATATCAATAGAAGCTATTTTGTAGGCAATTTAATCCTTTTTCCAATGAAACATGATTCATTCAAATCGGTCCAGGCGTTCTAGAGTTATTACCGAGTTAAAAGGACTATGTTGGGCTGGAAAATTTTATTTTGGAATTTTTTCCAGGCTAGGTAGGAGGCCTCAAACAAGAAAATGCCGAGAGGCATTTACGCTTTATTTTGACCCAAGGAAAAATTATTTTTTCGAAGTTTCGAAATTTGATTTTCCTTAATTTAATTAATCTTCACAACTTTTCCTGGAGTGATTTTACACTAGAAATTTAAAAAAAAAAAAAAATTGTTGAGATTTTGTATCCTAATGGTCAACTAACATCCCCCAAACTCCATACACTAAATTATTCTCAGATTTGAAGCTGAAATCTATGAAAAAAAGCACTCAGAAAAATTGAAAAATTGATGACTCACCCCAAATTGCTTAACACGATTTTATCTCAGGAATTATAAGTGCAAATGAGCTGAAATTTTCAGGGATTGTAGTCCCTTTATTAAGATAAATTTCAATGAAAATTTCAGCTTTCTATCTATAATAGAAAAAAAGTATCACGTTTGAAAGTTTTTCAAAATCTAAATCACAAGCTCAGTACTAGAACGATGATATATTCAGAGCCAAATTGGTTTTCAACTAAATTTGTCCCACAGTGTAGAATCAATAGGAGTTTCTGTTTAGTATAGATTAGTTAATAAAATGTATTTTGTCTTATTTTTTCTGCTTCCAAATAAAGGGAACATCTTAGTACTGTGTAAGTAATAGTTTCATAGATGTAGATTTTCAACTAATACTATATTTAATACAATTTAAAATTTCATTTTAGGCTACTAGATAGAGTCCAATCAGAAGATCCTGCCTGGAAGGAAAGCGGAGCTGCTTTTATTAGTTCAATTACAAGACTGTTAGAGAGACTTTTGGATTACAGAAACGTAATTCAAGGAGACGAAAATCGCGATAAAAGAATGAGCTGTACTTTTAATTTATTGGTAAACTACTTATTAATTAATATACATTTACAATACAGTAATTATTTTTAGAATTTCTATAAAAACGAATTCAATCGTAAAGAAATGTATTTGCGCTACATCTATAAGTTGCACGATTTGCACATTTCCGCTGAAAACTTTACTGAAGCTGCGTTCACAATGAAACTTTACGCAGATCAACTTTTATGGAACAACAACCAAATAATGTCAGATCCAAATTATCCTGATCACACCGAATGCCAAGTAAAAGAGTTACTTTATAGACAAATAATTAATTATTTTGATAAAGGAAAAGTAAGTAAATAAGTTGTAATAATTCAAAAATTATTATTGATTTTTTATAGTGTTGGGAAAAAGGTGTACCATTGTTAAAAGAACTGGCGGACCTTTACGAAACAACATTTTTCGATTACAAGCAGCTCAGTGATATTCTCAAATGCCAAGCGAAATTTTACGATAACATTTTGACTCAACTCCGTCCCGAACCTGAATACTTTAGAGTTGGATTTTACGGACTCAGTTTTCCACTTTTTGTTAGAGTAAGAAGGATCATTATCAACATCTTTTAATACAAATATAATTTATTATTTTTTTAGAATAAACAATTTGTATATAGAGGCTTAGAATATGAAAGAATTGGGGCTTTTACTCAAAGACTGCAAACGGAATTTCCTTCGGCTCAAATTTTAATGAAAAATACTCCACCTGATGATAGTGTTATTAATTCAGATGGGCAATGTATGTATATTTGTTTTTAATTAAAATTCTTTCTATAATAGGTTTTTTTAGTTATCCAAATATGCAATGTAAAACCAATACCAGAAATCAATCCTATAACAACGGCCACAGATATTCCAGAAAAAATAGCCAGATACTATCATTACAATGATGTAACAAAATTCCAATGTGATAGGCCTGTGCATAAAGGCATTTTAGATAAGGAAAATGAAATTAAAGTAAATCAATCACTACAATAATAATAATAATATAATAAATATATTAAAATTGATTTTTAGACTTTATGGATAGAACGCACAATATTGGAAACGGCCTCGCCTTTACCAGGTATTTTAAGGTGGTTCGAAGTCATTGACAGGCAAACTGAAGAAATTCCTCCCGTTCAATATGCTTGCGAGACAATGCAAAATGTGGAAAACGAACTGAGGCAACTGATAACGATATATACGCACGAACCTAAAAGAAATTTGAATCCTTTTACTATGAGATTGCAAGGGATTATTGATGCTAATGTACAAGTAAGGATTATTGGATTTTCCATGTGATTTTTTTGATTACAAAAAATGTTTCAGGGGGGCTTGAGTAAATACCAGCAAGCTTTTTTCACCAAAGAATTTACGAAATTGTATCCGGAACATAAATGTTACGTCAACATGTTGCAGGAATTGATATTAAATGCCACTAGAGTAAGTGATTAATGTATTTTCAATTTTGTTTTCTTAAATTTCAATCTATTTTTTATTCATTTGCAAAATTTCAATCCTATTTTTCTACTATTTCCTGAGAAAAAAATAAAACTTTCCTCAATGTCGTTTTATGGAAATTTGATTTTTTGATGACATTTTCACATATTTTGCTTTACAACTTTGTTAATTTCAATCCGATTTTAATGTAATTAGGCCCAAATTGAAGCCAATTAAATTCTCTATAGATTTCTAATGGATAATTTCAATGTAGCTTCAATAGTTCCGTAGCTGCAAGGCTTGAAGCTTTTAGAGTTTGACTTTTATCAAAGTGTGACGAAGCAGAAAGAAATTATTATTTTTCTCTTAAATTTCAATCTATTTTCTATCCACTTGGAAAATTCCAATTCAATCCCTGTACTATTTTCCTAAGAAAAAAATAAAACGTTCCTCAATGTCGTTTTATGGAAATTTGATTTTTCTGAAATGACATTGTCACATATTTTGCTTTACAACTTTGTTAATTTCAATCCGATTTCAATGTAATTAGGCCCAAATTGAAGCCAATTAAATTCTCTATAAATTTCTAATGAATAATTTCAATGTAGCTTCAATAGTTTCGTAACTGCAAGGCTTGCAGCTTTTAGAGTTTGACTTTTATCAAAGTGTAACGGAGCAGAAAGAAATTATAATTTTTTCTCTTAAATTTCAATCTATTCTCTATCCATTTGGAAAATTCCAGTTCAATCCCTGTATTATTTTCCTAAGAAAAAAATAAAACGTTCCTCAATGTCGTTTTATGGAAATTTGATTTTTCCAAAATGACATTGTCACATATTTTGCTTTACAACTTTGTTAATTTCAATCCGATTTTAATGTAATTAGGCCCAAATTGAAGCCAATGAAATTCTCTATAAATTTCTAATGAATAATTTCAATTCAACTCCAATAGTTCCGTAGCTGCAAGGCTTGAAGCTTTTAGAGTTTGACTTTTATCAAAGTGTGACGGAACAGAGAGAAATGATTATTTTTTCTCTTAAATTTCAATCTATTTTCTATCCACTTGGAAAATTTCAATTCAATCCCTTTACTATTTTCCTAAGAAATAAATAAAACGTTCCTCAATGTCGTTTTATGGAAATTTGATTTTTCTAAAATGACACTGTCACATATTTTGCTTTACAACTTTGTTAATTTCAATCCGATTTTAATGTAATTAGGCCCAAATTGAAGCCAATGAAATTCTCTATAAATTTCTAGTGAATAATTTCAATTCAACTCCAATAGTTCCGTAGCAGCAAGGCTTGAAGCTTTTAGAGTTTGACTTTTATCAAAGTGTGACGGAGCAGAAAGAAATTATTATTTTTTCTCTTAAATTTCAATCTATTTTCTATCCACTTGGAAAATTTCAATTCAATCCCTGTATTATTTTCCTAAGAAAAAAATAAAACGTTCCTCAATGTCGTTTTATGGAAATTTGATTTTTCCAAAATGACATTGTCACAATTTTGCTTTACAACTTTGTTAATTTCAATCCGATTTTAATGTAATTAGGCCCAAATTGAAGCCAATGAAATTCTCTATAAATTTCTAGTGAATAATTTCAATTCAACTCCAATAGTTCCGTAGCAGCAAGGCTTGAAGCTTTTAGAGTTTGACTTTTATCAAAGTGTGACGGAGCAGAAAGAAATTATTATTTTTTCTCTTAAATTTCAATCTATTTTCTATCCACTTGGAAAATTTCAATTCAATCCCTGTACTATTTTCCTAAGAAAAAAATAAAACATTCCTCAATGTCGTTTTATGGAAATTTGATTTTTCTACAATGACACTGTCACATATTTTACTTTACAACTTTATTAATTTCAATCCGATTTCAATGTAATTAGGCCCAAATTGAAGCCAATGAAATTCTCTATAAATTTCTAATGAATAATTTCAATTCAACTCCAATAGTTCCGTAGCTGCAAGGCTTGAAGCTTTTAGAGTTTGACTTTTATCAAAGTGTGACGGAACAGAAAGAAATTATCATTTCTCTCTTAAATTTCAATCTATTTTCTATCCACTTGGAAAATTTCAATTCAATCCCTGTACTATTTTCCTAAGAAAAAAATAAAACATTCCTCAATGTCGTTTTATGGAAATTTGATTTTTCTACAATGACACTGTCACATATTTTACTTTACAACTTTATTAATTTCAATCCGATTTCAATGTAATTAGGCCCAAATTGAAGCCAATGAAATTCTCTATAAATTTCTAATGAATAATTTCAATTCAACTCCAATAGTTCCGTAGCTGCAAGGCTTGAAGCTTTTAGAGTTTGACTTTTATCAAAGTGTGACGGAACAGAAAGAAATTATTATTTTTTCTCTTAAATTTCAATCTATTTTCTATCCACTTGGAAAATTCCAATTCAATCCCTGTACTATTTTCCTAAGAAATAAATAAAACGTTCCTCAATGTCGTTTTATGGAAATTTGATTTTTCTAAAATGACATTGTCACATATTTTGCTTTACAACTTTGTTAATTTCAATCCGATTTTAATGTAATTAGGCCCAAATTGAAGCCAATTAAATTCTCTATAAATTTCTAATGGATAATTTCAATGTAGCTTCAATAGTTTCGTAGCTGCAAGGCTTGAAGCTTTTAGAGTTTGACTTTTATCAAAGTGTGACGGAGCAAAAAGAAATTATTATTTTTTCTCTTAAATTTCAATCTATTTTCTATCCACTTGGAAAATGTCAATTCAATCCCTGTACTATTTTCCAAAGAAAAAAATAAGACGTTCCTCAATGTCGTTTTATGGAAATTTGATTTTTCTACAATGACATTGTCACATATTTTGCTTTACAACTTTGTTAATTTTAATCCGATTTCAATGTAATTAGGCCCAAATTGAAGCCAATTAAATTCTCTATAAATTTCTAATGAATAATTTCGATGTAGCTTCAATAGTTCCGTAGCTGCAAGGCTTGAAGCTTTTAGAGTTTGACTTTTATCAAAGTGTGACGGAGCAGAAAGAAATTATTATTTTTTCTCTTAAATTTCAATCTATTTTCAATCCACTTGGAAAATTTCAATTCAATCCCTGTACTATTTTCCTAAGAAATAAATAAAACGTTCCTCAATGTCGTTTTATGGAAATTTGATTTTTCTAAAATGACATTGTCACATATTTTGCTTTACAACTTTGTTAATTTTAATCCGATTTCAATGTAATTAGGCCCAAATTGAAGTCAATTAAATTCTCTATAAATGTCTAATAAATAATTTCAATGCAACTCCAATAGTTCCGTGGCTGCAAGGCTCGAAACATTTAGAGTTTGACTTTTATCAAAGTGTGACGGAGCAGGAGGAAATTTTTATATTTTTTCTTAAATTTCAATCTATTTTCTATCCACTTGGAATAAATTCAATCCAATTTTCAACTTTTTTCCTGAGAAAAAAATAAATTGTTCCTCAATGTTGTTTTATGGAAATTTGATTTTTCTAAAATGACACTGTCACATATTTTACTTTACAACTTTATTAATTTCAATCCGATTTCAATGTAATTAGGCCCAAATTGAAGCCAATGAAATTTCCTACAAACCTGTTAATTAAGATTTCAATTTAGTTTGTATAGTTTTGCAGCTAAGAAGCGTCAAAATTGAATTTATCGTACATTGAAAATTTTCTAAAAATGACACTGTGACAGTTTTTACCCCACAGCTCCGTTAATTTTCATTAGAGCAACTTAAATTCATCACAAGCTGTATTTAAATTAGGGTAGTTAATAATTATTATTTCTGTATAAATGGGTTTTTGACACAAAAAACCCAAACTCCAGTGGGTTTTTGTGTATGCCAACCCTGATTTTCTTTAAAACTTTTTGATAATCGACTGTCAACTAAAATTTCTCAATTACTTTACTTCCTCTTATTGGAAATTCTTACATACAAGACTTGATTTTCATTGCTCCATTTTCCTGAATCATTACAATTTATCACTAATCATTAAATTCTACAGGTTATAGAAGAAGGCCTATATTTGCATGGCAAACTAGCTCCTGTAAGCGTACAACCCTTACACCAAAGACTGGTAGAAAGATTCATCCAGTTAAGGGAAAGTTTAGGATCTCTGAGTCAGACAACTAACAGTATTATACATACACCTTTGCCTCCAGTTCCTTCAGAAAAACGCCCCCTTGTGGAAAACGGCAGCAGTAATCGCTCATCAAATTCGAGCGGAAATTACGGGCATTTAATCGACCATCAAACGGATTACGATAGTGTTTATAATAAATCAGGAGTAAGTTATCAATAATTGGTCAATAATAATAAATTATATTTTGTATTATTGTAGGAAATCGATCGTCCAGTTTTGAATCGCGAGAACTTGTCACTGCCTATGGGAGCCCCTCCGATACCTCAAAGAGACTCCAGGCCTCGATCTCAAGGTTTCAGCAATACAAGTTTTTCAGATTTGAGAACTCCCACTCGTTGTCCATTGGAATACAGTAGTTCTAGTTTACCTTCAATGAAATCGAGAGAATCTGATTCCGGAGAAATTCCATTACCACCAAAACCTACTCATTCAAGAGAAAGGTCTGACTAAACCACCATCTCCTAGATTATTGAGACACGCATTATCAATGACTCCTACTGACAGTACGTCACCTTTGAGGAATTCTTGGCCTGATTCTGGTACTGAAGAGGCTCCACCTTTACCACCAAGATCACACAGTAAGAACCATTTTATTAAAATCAATAAACTTAATTAATTATTTTGTTGTAGCTCCTGATAAACGTGTCCAGTCTTTGCCTAATGATGCCCCACCAAACATTCCAAAAAGAGGCCAAAAGAAATCTTGTAATGTTTCAGAATGTGATTTGATTGCCTCAGCTACAATAGATGCTAAGGATTTACGCGATTCAGGGATCAGCATGAACGAAGCCGGGTAAGAATTATTATGATATTGTTTTGTAGATTGAAATTAAAGCTTTGTTTTAGTTCTACCTTGAACAATTTCAATACGCAAAATTGCTACGAGGATTACGAATTGAGGCAGCATCCGTCTGAAATGAATATCAGCGGTAGTCCGCCTGACCAAAGGAATTCGCAGGAAGAGCATCCGCCCCCTATACCGCCCAAAATTGGGGGGAGTTTGAGCTCTAGCATAGATTTAGGAGGTAAGGAATTTTCATTTAAACATCTCAATACCAAACGTCAACTTAACATAGCTTTCGCAATTGTTCCTTAAAATTGCAAAATTCTCACATACATGACAAAAAACTTATAATAATTTTCATTATTTTTAGGAAGTTTAGAACGTCCTTCTAGATCCAAAGACCCTTTGGATATCCTCTCGTCTTCTGAAAATTACTCGCATCCAAAGATACGTAAAGAAAGCGACGGAGACAAATGAGATTATTTTTAGGAATTAAAAAAAAAAAAAGACACTCCCTAAGGAATAAGCCAAAAATTAATTTTAGCTAAATGTTTCTGGTACCATTTTGGTTGTTTTGTGCATGCAAAATTGAATGGTACAAGTGCAATAACTGACCAAATTTGTACACAAAGTAGCAAGTTTGTGCCAATTTTGAACTTGATTTTTTAATTAATCAAGTACTTTTCCCATTCCCAAAAATAATAAACCAATAATAATAATGACATATCAAGTGCGCAATTCAATCAAAAATATTAGTTTTGTTCCAACCCAGCAGAAAATTAATATTATTGTCAAGATTCTATACAAAACCTAAAATTTTTGTGTAGAAACAGAGTGATTCCGAGGCAATTTTTTGATAGGTTGGAACAAGCCTATTATCGTTATTGGTTTAAACAGTATTTGAGTTTCTACATATTTCAGACATCGAAAACGGTTTTGTACATAGTATTGGTGCTATTTTTTTTACCTACAACTTATTAATTATTATATTATTGTAATCAAATTGATTAATTTTTAGAATGAGTAATGAAATGAAAAACTATAGTTTTTTAGAATTGAGGTATATTTTGATGTGTACTAGTCATGTATCTGATATTGGTATTTTATGATATTTTCCATAATTATTATTATTTTATAAAAAAAAAAAAATGCATTATATCGTTGTAGTGAATAAAATTGAAATTATACTAAGAAATGTTGTGTTTTAATTTAGATAGTTTTCAGGGCCGGTTTCTCAATAGAAAGTTACATCTGAGCAAGGGTGGTTTAAAGGGGTGGTAGACAAAGATTTTTTTTTTGATACATTTATTAATTACAATAAAATTTCAACAAGAGACAAGTTCTACAAAATAAAGCATTTAAATGCTTTGTATAAATTGATAAGCTCACCAGTACCAAAGTGTACCAGTACTGATGTACCTACTATACAGTGAAATAAAGAGTTCCATTTAAAAAAAAAAAAAAAAATGAGTTATGGTTATTTGAAATGTCAAGTTTTGTGTATTTATACAGTATTGTGAACACTCTAAAGAATGTTATCAGATTTTCATAGGACTCTATGAAGTAAATGTAGATATGCACTGAAAACCTGCAAAAGATTTAGCTTAAGGATCTCAAATTAATGAAATGTTGGTTTTTGTTGGTTTTGTTTTCAGTATTTTTTACATTAAACCTTTAGGAAAAAGTCCTTAAAATTTCAACGTTCCTCTCACTCTAGTTTTTGAGTGAAAAAAGTATTTGTAAAGTCTCACTTTACAAAACATCATTAATTTAAAAAAAAATCATAACTCCATTAATAATAACTCATTCGCTTTGAGTTTTTGGATTTTTTTACATTGAACTTTTAGGAAAAAGTCCTCAAAATTTCAACTTTCCACTCACTTTAGTTTTTGAGTGAAAAAATTGTATGTAAAGCCTTACTTTACAAAACATCATTATTTAAAAAAAAATCATAACTCCATTAATAATAACTCATTCGCTTTGAGTTTTTGGAATTTTTTACATTGAACTTTTAGGAAAGTTCTCAAAATTTCAACTTTCCACGCACTTTACTTTTTGAGTGAATAAAATGGAATGTAAAGTCTTACTTTACAAAACATCATTATTTAAAAAAAATCATAACTCCATTAATAATAACTCATTCGCTTTGAGTTTTTGGAATTTTTTACATTGAACTTTTAGGAAAAAGTTCTCAAAATTTCAACTTTCCACTCATTTTAGTTTTTGAGTGAAAAAATTGTATGTAAAGCCTTACTTTACAAAACATCATTATTTAAAAAAAATCATAACTCCATTAATAATAACTCATTCGCTTTGAGTTTTTGGAATTTTTTACATTGAACTTTTAGGAAAAAGTTCTCAAAATTTCAACTTTCCACTCACTTTAGTTTTTGAGTGAAAAAATTGTATGTAAAGCCTTACTTTACAAAACATCATTATTTAAAAAAAAATCATAACTCCATTAATAATAACTCATTCGCTTTGAGTTTTTGGAATTTTTTACATTGAACTTTTAGGAAAAAGTCCTCAAAATTTCAACTTTCCACTCACTTTAGTTTTTGAGTGAAAAAATTGTATGTAAAGCCTTACTTTACAAAACATCATTATTTAAAAAAAAATCATAACTCCATTAATAATAACTCATTCGCTTTGAGTTTTTGGATTTTTTTACATTGAACTTTTAGGAAAAAGTCCTCAAAATTTCAACTTTCCACTCACTTTAGTTTTTGAGTGAAAAAATTGTATGTAAAGCCTTACTTTACAAAACATCATTATTTAAAAAAAAATCATAACTCCATTAATAATAACTCATTCGCTTTGAGTTTTTGGAATTTTTTACATTGAACTTTTAGGAAAAAGTTCTCAAAATTTCAACTTTCCACTCATTTTAGTTTTTGAGTGAAAAAATTGTATGTAAAGCCTTACTTTACAAAACATCATTATTTAAAAAAAATCATAACTCCATTAATAATAACTCATTCGCTTTGAGTTTTTGGAATTTTTTACATTGAACTTTTAGGAAAAAGTTCTCAAAATTTCAACTTTCCACTCATTTTAGTTTTTGAGTGAAAAAATTGTATGTAAAGCCTTACTTTACAAAACATCATTATTTAAAAAAAATCATAACTCCATTAATAATAACTCATTCGCTTTGAGTTTTTGGAATTTTTTACATTGAACTTTTAGGAAAAAGTTCTCAAAATTTCAACTTTCCACTCACTTTAGTTTTTGAGTGAAAAAATTGTATGTAAAGCCTTACTTTACAAAACATCATTATTTAAAAAAAAATCATAACTCCATTAATAATAACTCATTCGCTTTGAGTTTTTGGATTTTTTTACATTGAACTTTTAGGAAAAAGTCCTCAAAATTTCAACTTTCCACTCACTTTAGTTTTTGAGTGAAAAAATTGTATGTAAAGCCTTACTTTACAAAACATCATTATTTAAAAAAAAATCATAACTCCATTAATAATAACTCATTCGCTTTGAGTTTTTGGAATTTTTTACATTGAACTTTTAGGAAAGTTCTCAAAATTTCAACTTTCCACGCACTTTACTTTTTGAGTGAATAAAATGGAATGTAAAGTCTTACTTTACAAAACATCATTATTTAAAAAAAATCATAACTCCATTAATAATAACTCATTCGCTTTGAGTTTTTGGAATTTTTTACATTGAACTTTTAGGAAAGTTCTCAAAATTTCAACTTTCCACGCACTTTACTTTTTGAGTGAATAAAATGGAATGTAAAGTCTTACTTTACAAAACATCATTATTTAAAAAAAATCATAACTCCATTAATAATAACTCATTCGCTTTGAGTTTTTGGAATTTTTTACATTGAACTTTTAGGAAAAAGTTCTCAAAATTTCAACTTTCCACTCACTTTAGTTTTTGAGTGAAAAAATTGTATGTAAAGCCTTACTTTACAAAACATCATTATTTAAAAAAAAATCATAACTCCATTAATAATAACTCATTCGCTTTGAGTTTTTGGATTTTTTTACATTGAACTTTTAGGAAAAAGTCCTCAAAATTTCAACTTTCCACTCACTTTAGTTTTTGAGTGAAAAAATTGTATGTAAAGCCTTACTTTACAAAACATCATTATTTAAAAAAAAATCATAACTCCATTAATAATAACTCATTCGCTTTGAGTTTTTGGAATTTTTTACATTGAACTTTTAGGAAAGTTCTCAAAATTTCAACTTTCCACGCACTTTACTTTTTGAGTGAATAAAATGGAATGTAAAGTCTTACTTTACAAAACATCATTATTTAAAAAAAATCATAACTCCATTAATAATAACTCATTCGCTTTGAGTTTTTGGAATTTTTTACATTGAACTTTTAGGAAAAAGTTCTCAAAATTTCAACTTTCCACTCATTTTAGTTTTTGAGTGAAAAAATTGTATGTAAAGCCTTACTTTACAAAACATCATTATTTAAAAAAAATCATAACTCCATTAATAATAACTCATTCGCTTTGAGTTTTTGGAATTTTTTACATTGAACTTTTAGGAAAAAGTTCTCAAAATTTCAACTTTCCACTCACTTTAGTTTTTGAGTGAAAAAATTGTATGTAAAGCCTTACTTTACAAAACATCATTATTTAAAAAAAAATCATAACTCCATTAATAATAACTCATTCGCTTTGAGTTTTTGGATTTTTTTACATTGAACTTTTAGGAAAAAGTCCTCAAAATTTCAACTTTCCACTCACTTTAGTTTTTGAGTGAAAAAATTGTATGTAAAGCCTTACTTTACAAAACATCATTATTTAAAAAAAAATCATAACTCCATTAATAATAACTCATTCGCTTTGAGTTTTTGGAATTTTTTACATTGAACTTTTAGGAAAAAGTCCTCAAAATTTCAACTTTCCACTCACTTTAGTTTTTGAGTGAAAAAATTGTATGTAAAGCCTTACTTTAAAAAACATCATTATTTAAAAAAAAATCATAACTCCATTAATAATAACTCATTCGCTTTGAGTTTTTGGAATTTTTTACATTGAACTTTTAGGAAAAAGTCCTCAAAATTTCAACTTTCCACTCACTTTAGTTTTTGAGTGAAAAAATTGTATGTAAAGCCTTACTTTACAAAACATCATTATTTAAAAAAAAATCATAACTCCATTAATAATAACTCATTCGCTTTGAGTTTTTGGAATTTTTTACATTGAACTTTTAGGAAAGTTCTCAAAATTTCAACTTTCCACGCACTTTACTTTTTGAGTGAATAAAATGGAATGTAAAGTCTTACTTTACAAAACATCATTATTTAAAAAAAATCATAACTCCATTAATAATAACTCATTCGCTTTGAGTTTTTGGAATTTTTTACATTGAACTTTTAGGAAAGTTCTCAAAATTTCAACTTTCCACGCACTTTACTTTTTGAGTGAATAAAATGGAATGTAAAGTCTTACTTTACAAAACATCATTATTTAAAAAAAATCATAACTCCATTAAT